AGTGAAGCGCGCGCGGTGTGTAGAGGAGGAAGGGATGCACAGATGGTGGAAGAGTGGGCGACGGCGCGACGGCGCATGCGCGCGCGTCAGCTGTCGAATGTTCGAGAAGTGGTGCGGACGGCGCACTACAAGGCGCGAGTATAAGATGCTCCGCATCTAAAAAAGAAAGCAAACATCCAGGGCTCCCGGGCGCGCGCTCTCCCTGCAGAAGCACGGCTTCGCAGACGATCCTCCTCACCCCACATCGGCGGCCCAGCAAGGCCGCGATTTTTCTAGAACGAAAGAGGCGGGGTCAGACCGAGTGAATCATCCTCCGGAGAGGGCAGTCGAACCGTCTCGTGCCTCTCCCCAGCCTTCGCTGCGTATCGCGCCGACGAAATGACGAGAAACATCTGGAAAGTCGCGCGCAAGGTATTTAACCGAGCAGCCGAGACGAGAAATCAGGAGGAGACGGAAGTGAGCGCCAGAGTGCGTAGAGAGTCCGCCGTGTAGTCGGCGAAGTTTTTGGTCCGTAGGGACGGCTCGAGCTACAGGCAAGAGCGTGGGTTTACCGCCATCGAGCGAAGACGCGGGCAACAGCTGCGTGTGGGAAGCCGACGGATTTCCGGCGAAGAAGCTTGAAGCTTGGAGAGTGGCCATTTGAGGACGCGAGGTTTCCTGGAAGAGAAACTTCGAGAGCTACGGAACGACAACAACGCTGGACTTTGAGTGAGTGATTCTCGGAAGAGTATCATTCAGACCTTTGTTCCAAGGACTTTGGACTGAATAGGTTTTCTATCGCTTTATACCTTAAGTGTCTTGGTTGTTCAATGCATGCGACTGCATTGTAGTGCGTATTGTAGGCCTGTGTCCGTTGTTTTGAGTGTGGCTGATTGTACTGTGTAGTACGTTGTCTGATTGGTGACGTATTGTATGTAACTATTGTGGAGTGTGCATTCTTGTGTATTGTTTTCGATCTGCCATTTTCGAGAATATAATATTTGTTTTGTTTATCAACTCTCGACTCTGACTTGTTCTTTGGGCCACAGCCGGCGTCCGCTGGCGCACCAATAAGGACCACTTCTAAATTGTCCACGCTTTCGTGGTGCGGTTCAGGGAGCCGATACTTCGGCTCTTGGAACTAGCCCGGCGATCGCCTCCCTAATAACGGGACAGGTGTGACAGTGCTGCTGTCTGGCTGTGACGAACATGAGGTGGTCCCTCGAGGAGATGTTGAGGGCTGCTTGCGTTTCCGATATTTTTGATATTTTGCCGCGCAGCCACTGGTCCCAGTCTCATGGGCGCCGTGGCAGAGGAGGCACTTGGGGTGGCAGTCATGGGCATTGAGACCTGCAGGTGCGGGGGTTCCACATTTGGCACACTGGGTTGGAGCAGGGTGAGGACACTGAGGTGGTCGACGACCGATGGTACCGCACTTGGGGCAAACAGGAACCGTTTTCTTGTAGGCGCGGATATACGTCGCCACGCAGTGGTAGAAGAGGAAGCGGGGTAACTTCGTGCCCTCGAAAGTCACCACCGCCGCCGCGGAATCTCCGAGTTTGCGGACCGCAAGGATAGTACCTTGAGGCCAATACAGTTCAGACTTTATCTTTTCCGGGCTTTCAGCTGAGTTTACATTGATGACGCCCTTGCATGTATCCCCTGGTGCCTTGGCGTGGCCTCGAACGGGCAGCTGCTGATCCCCCACTTGCAGCTGGAAGTCCCCGAGGAGTCGCTGTGCCATAGGCAAAATGGTGGTGCTACAGACAAAGATGTTCTGCTCCCAGATTGGCCACACTTGAATTTGCGTGGTAGTCCGGTCGCCGAGGTAGCTGCGGATGGCGTCGCCCGCGCGATCGGCCGGGACAAATGTGCGTAGCTCGCAGGGAACGCGAGGTTTGAGTACTACGATGTAGTCGTCGCGAGAGAGGCGAGGAGTTTGACGCGGACGCCACTTGCGTTGCTTCGCTGGCTGCGAGGACGGAGCAGAGGTAGGCACACCACCGGAGGGATGGCGCGCCGGCGTTTCTTGCAAGGCTGGGGAAGGGTGGCCCGCCGTGGCGTCTTGTTGTTGTTGAGACGCAGACTTCGATTTCGCTTGCTTGCGGTACCGCAGTCTCACCATGTCGTCGAGGCATTCGTCTTCTAATGGCATAGTGTTTACGGAGGATGAATTCTCCATGGACAGCATTTGGCTTGAGGTAGGTTCATAGCCCGTAACCACGTTAGCGGCCGCCATCGCTGGGCTGAGAGCCCTTAGCGAGGCGGCGTTGTAGCCGGGAGTGAAGGACGTCCCTCAAGTTGTCAAAACTGGACCCACCTGGACGAAGGTGTTGTCTAGGCGAAGCGGAGAACTTGGCGGTGACGATAAATCCAAGTTTCAGGGGTACGAGGGTGGATGTCCGCAGAAATAGCAGAAAATCTACGGAGGCGATGTGGAGTGCGTCCGTCACCATCGAGCGCTCGCAGCACCCCCCGGTTGTTTTCGCGGCTCGCAAACGCCACTACGCTATCCGGCGGTGTATACTTCGACGATTCTCGTACGCAATAAGCAAGAAAAGACAGTACTGCTTACTTTGCTGGCAAGTGGCTGTCTTTTAATGCACGAAGAGCAGAAAAACCACCGACGCCAGCGGCGTTGGTGGGTTCGTTTTGCTCTGCAAGACCGCAACAAGCTCGGTCACGCCAACAGTAAGCTCGGTCACCTCTTTCATGGAATACGGAGGCGAAGTAGGCACAGAGTAGGTGAAACTGCCGCTGGTTTTAACATTCAGTTACGTGCACTGCGGCATAACAAGTGAGTAGGGCTTGGCCGCCATTTTTCAAAGTTTCTTGACTAGCGCTCCTATTGGTCCGCAGTGACCGATTCGGCGGCAGACGCCGCAATAAGGCCGCGTTCACACTGAGCATTCCGGCCGCTGAAAGTGCTCCGAATCTGGCTCGGCGGCGGCGAGATCCGCCGAAAGTGCCCTCTCCGCGCCCATCGCTCTCGGACCCATTTTTGCGGCGTCTGCCGCCAAATCGGTCACCGCGGACCAATAAGAGCGCTAGTCAAGGAATTTTGAAAAATGGTGGCCAAGCCCTACTCACTTGTTATGCCGCAGTGCACGTAACTGAATCTTGAAACCAACAGAAGTTTAACCTACTCTGTGCCTACTTCGCGTCCGTATTTCGTGAAAGAGGTGACTGAGCTTGCTGTTGGCGCGACCGAGCTTGTTGGGGTCTTGCAGAGCAAAACGGACCCACCAACGCCACTGGCGTCGGTGGTTTTTTCTGCTCTTCGTGCATTACAAGCACTTGCCAGCAAAGTAAGTCGTACTGTCTTTTCTTGCTTCCTGCGTACGAGAATCATCGATGTATACGCCACAAGATAGCGTAGTGGCGTTTTCGAGCCGCGACAACAACCGGGTGACAGCGCATCCATCCCGCGTTCGCCCCGTATTAGATGGCATATTTGGCGGCGCGGGGCGTGTCCAGTGCGAACGGCGCTGCGTTTCGGCGGCAGGGGAATTTCGGTGACTGTAGAAAGCAGATGTTTCAGTGTCAACTAGGCTTAATCGGTCCGAGAGCGATCGGCGCGGAGGAGACCTTTCGGCGAATCTCGCCGCCGCCGAACCGGATTCGGAGCACTTTCGGTGGCCGGAATGCTCAGTGTGAACGCGGCCTAAATGCGGACCTCTTTTAGTCGCACGATGTCACGCTGCGGCATCGACGGTGGTGCCATCCACACCCTTGTTGTGCATGATTGCGTCTCGTGCCGCATGCTCGCGTCTCGTGCCGTCCAAGAAGACGCCCGCAAAACAGTCTCTCCTCTCCTCCTTGCTAGCCTCGCAAAAACGAAAGCAGCATCTACCAGTAAAAACAAAATACAGCATATCCACAGAGTGCATGATGAGTGCAGCGAAGCATCTTTCAGTTCGTCTGCGCATCTGTACGTCCGTTCGTTCGTTCATCCATCCCTCCATCCGTGCATCCATCCGTCCGTGCATCCGTTCGGCCACCCATCCGTCCAACATCCGTTCGGCCACCCATGCGCCCGTCCGTGCGTCTGCCCGTGCTTCCGTCGGTCTGTCCGTGCATGCATGCGTTCGTCCATCCATCTGTGCACCTGTCTGTCTCGCCGTCCGTGCGTCTGTCCATCCGGCCGTCCATCTAGGGAACACCCTAAGTACCGTCATCTCGCATCTTTTTATCACATATTCATCATATAGAAGTATCACTATCCAGCGTACATTCCAAGGTATAAACGAAAGGTTGCGCGACCGCCACCTTACCCAGTGCCCACTCAGTAGGCTTCAAAAACAGAGAAAATATGCACTTCCTCCCTGCTTGAACAGTAGTAGATAGCAGCCTTCGAAATGGAGTGATGTCATTTTGGGCTTCACATAAAGTATGACGACACCAGTGACGCCATATCACGATGAATGATGTCCAGGGAGAAATCCCACCCATATGAATAGACATCTCGTTTGAACTGCCTTTTCCCGAAAACTATGAATCTTAACTGCTCGAGCGCTCAAAATAACAGCATACGCAGTAACTCAAGAAGAAAAATGATGACCAGGGCATGTAGAAAGCAGTGGGAGACCGCACTGCTAAGTGCAGTCCCAGGCGTGCAACTCGACGTCCTTCGGCAAACCGAGCATGCCGCCAGAGCGCAAGGACTCATGGCCGCCACCCATGGGAAGGAGACAATTCTTTCACATCTTGCCGTTTTTTTAATAAAGTTATTTTTCCTCCATTGTATATGTATCACAATGCTAACCGCAATAGAATAGGTATATTCTTTCATGCAAGTTTGTCTCAGTTGACGATTTTAACTTAGCACGCAAGGAGGAATGCGGGTGTACAAGCGTTCACTCAAGAGCAGTGTTTCTTTGGTGTTGTGGTTGTTTCCGCAGCGCCTTCCACTTTAGTGCGTGCGGCCTGATTGAAAACGACGACTTTATCGAGAAATGATGAGGAATTACTTCATCAGTAATATTCAAGGCGTTTCTCATGTCAACTTCGTTACCTTTCAGTATCATCGGTTCTCACTTTCGGAGTACTGGCCACATCAGGACCTGGTAATCTTTCTAGAGACGTCTTTGAGCTTGCCCAGCTGCGTGGTAACTCGAACAAAAGCCGATGGACAGAGCTCAGCGTAAAGATCGGCAACTGGCATGCAGGATCTAGGGTAAGTGTTTTGTTGTCTCGTCTTTTCTTGGTCTCCTAAAGCTCGATTTGTTTCATATTCATGGAAGTCTCTCACGCAAAATTGCAATTAACCCTTTCTTGTTGGTTATTTGATTCTGTTTTTAGGAGTGTTTTGATCCAAATCCCAAGCCCTATTTCCAATGTTTGCTATATTGTACACTTAGCATCCCGATGCACCCTTTCTGTTATTAAATTGTAATGGTTCTCGGCTTATTTATATATTGGCGTACCTCATAGCTCTGCTCAATTGTGCCCCGTTTGGTGCATTATATACACCACTGCATGCTTGCTCATTGATGTTGTTCATATTATTGCTGGGTATTTTGTGACCATTTTTTCAAAATTATTACCAACCTGTAGTTTCCGACCCCATTCGCCAAAACAAGTAAATGGAGTCATGTGGCGCTGTTATTTTGAGGGACAGCGGTAACGTCGAATATTGTGTATCAAGATACCTTTCGTGAGTCGAGTGAGAAAATTTTGACGAAACCTTATGCAACAAAGGGCTATTCAAGCGCCAGAAGTGCCTTCAAACTGGTTTTCGAATAAGGAGGCACAAATCTTTACATGTGTGGTGAAGGTGAATTATAAACTGGCAGGGCCCTTGGATAGCTGAAAGAATAATTAAATGAAACACCACTTAAAAGACCATGTCATTCTTTGGGACCACGAGGAGAAAAAGAAGCGAAAAGAAGAGGAAAAAACTTGAAAGGAAAGCAGCACATACTTGGTCAATCCCCCATAATGGGCATACGTGCCACAGGTAAAAGTACAAAACAAAGGAAGCAGCTAGACAAACGGGCTACGCGTCTCGGCAATCAGGTTTCCGACCTCAGCCAGACGTCCACCTTTCTTTAACTGAGACCTACATTTATGGCAATAAATTGATACATTGTGACTCTGTATAACAATATTTGTTGCCTAATTCTATATGCAGCCTATTTGCTGACAGTAATTGTGTCCTATGAATGCTCCAACAGCAGCAAGCGTTCGCCTGGAGAGTGGTCGCATTTCGATACGACAACATGCGCTGAAGAACTCGTTTCGCTAAAATTCTGGTGTCAGCGTTGGCAGTGTTAGCTTCCGCATTTTTGGTTCAGAACAAAAAAAAAAGCCAAGTTGTGCGTGAGAGAAAATTTGAGTTGCTTGCTATAAGGATACTAGCCCGAGGTCAAAATCACGCTAGCTATTTGGAAGGCAATAGCCTGTGAGCGTTTGTCTGTGCATGTATGTGAGTGAATGAGTGTCTGCGTGTGTGTGCGCATTTACGCGTCCGGTGACTCCACTGTCGCGTTCTGGTTGCTTAGCAAAATAAAATAATTTGTCAGAAAACTTTCAATCTTAGCATCAAACATGAAGCCTTTGTGTTCTGTACATGCTGTAAATAATTTTTTTTCTGAACAAACTTACACGCGTTTATTAAGAACCTAGAGACGCACGCTGCCACTGCAATTCTTGCTGTTAGCGCCAAGCAGAAGACTCCATTGCGCCCTCTGGCACTGCAACCAGCATGGTATGACGGAAAATAAGTTTAATGGGTCCTGAAGGTTGACACTGTGTTAACTAGTATCACACCCATCTGGGGACTGCCAAGACAGTTCCGAGATGAATGTGTGTTGTTTGTGTCTCTTCTTTTCGGTCCATGAGTTAGTGCGCTGTTTCTGCCCATAGGGGCATCAGTCATACTTCGCTCTATTTTATTACGTCGCAATGACTCCAACTTGATGAATTGCTTTATTTTGTGCAGCTCGTCCTTTACACCACCAACGCGGAACGCCCACAATCTATATTACTATTTGAAGAAGCCAAGGCTCTTGAAGGCCTTTGCCTATATAAACGGTGTTGTGTCCCAAGTACCGTGGTCAGAAGTGCGTCGCAATGTTGCAAGACGGTGACGATGTAGTGCTAGAGCCATCCAAAAATTAGGAAATCTGGCCTGATTACATCAAGCATGATAATATAACTATAATCATGTGAATATCACCAACGTGAAAAAAAAACATGACTGCATCACAGAAATAGTATGTACAATGATTTCTAATTGCTGCTTATTCTGCAACAGTCAGTTTTCTTGGTCGAAATAGTCATAGATGAGGCAGCTCAAAGAAAAGTTGCATGTAAATTTAAAACAAGAAATTACTTTTCCGGCGTGATGAAGAACTGAGTTGGTAGCGTATGAGCCCATACTATCAGTGTCATGTTGAGAAGCCTAATCCTCGTGACGTGGAGGATGCGCGGCGCTGCTGAAGTCAAAGCGCTGCCTTTTCCATATGTTACTGTTGATTCAGCATTGCTATGCTGTAGAATCGTTGTCTCCACGCGCAATAAATTTGGCGTACTTTCAGCGGTCGTGTCTGGCACCTAAGATGCAGTTGAACCTTTGCTCCCGTTGCTTCTGAGAAGTCGGCAGTAGCGCCAGCCATTTTATCAGAGCTCTTCTGGTTTTTCTATTCTGCACTGTCAGGTATTTTGGGCAGCCTGGAAAAATGGCAGCCACAGCATTCAAAATGAGCGTATGTTTTCTTGGTGCGTGCAACAGGACGTTTCCCTTGCATTCTGCATGATATGTGGCAGCCCCCGGGAAATGTTTCACGCAGACGTGATCAGTAGGCTTCAAGGCTCTTTGAGCTCTGGGAATCGCGCATCGCCACTTATCCAAGCACTCTGGTTCACGCGGTGTCTTGAAAAGCAACACACGCTCCGTACAAATCCGATACGCTGACTTGCAGTTTAGGACAAAACACCACTTCTCCTGTCGACCTGAAGCCAGTGACAAGGCCGCTGACGCGCTCTCGGAATATATGCGGCGTCCAGGTATGCATGCACTGAATGACAAAGCGTGAATGAACAAAACAAAATACACTGGGCATACTCATAGGCATAGGGCAAAGCGTTTTTAAATCACAAAATCATACACACACACAAAGCTTTAAGGAAAGTGTTCTTTTGCACGCGAATTTGAGAATGAGCGCTCAACCTCTCTCTACAACCTCTCCATACGTGGAGCTGCGAAAGTCAGCACCTTACTTATTTTTACACCGTTACCCCGGCATAAAACATCGTGTTTAAACAAGACAAGACAAACAACTTTATTTGGTCCTGAGAGGCAAGGCAGCGGGCCAACTATGTAGGTCCCCACCCAGCCGTTGGCTAGTCCCATGTCGGAACAGAGAGGCCATGCCTCTCCGCTCGTTCACGGGCCCTCTGGACAGCCTGAAGCTGGACGTCTTGTCTGGGGTCTGTGATTGCCGTCGTCATGTCTTCTTCTGTTTTAAAATCCTGTAACGCAGGGCACTGCCAGAGCATGTGACTCAAAGAGCAAAATTCACCACAATCTGGGCAAAGTGGATCAATATCCGGATGAAGCATGCTCAGAAAGCCCCTAGAGGGGTAAGACCCCGTCTGGAGCATGCGGAGCGTGCTTGCTTGTGATCTGTGGAGCTTAGGATGGGGAAAGAGAAAAGTCTGTCGCTCTCCTCTGTAATGAGATGTTATCTCGTGAAAAGTAACAAGAGGATCACTATGTACGAGCTCTCCCGAACTCACCCGAGAGACCGCCCCGTCGCGGCTTGTGAAACCTCGCGCACAGTCGTGGGCTATCTCGTTTGGGTTCAGGTGACCCGGCAGTACGTCTGGTCCCATGTGAGCGGGAAACCAGACTATGTGATGAATAACTTCTGAGGGGGGTTTGCTGTGGAGAATTCTGGCTGCCTCTGTGGCTATCAATCCCGATGCGAACGCCCTAACGGCCGCTCGGGAATCGGTGTACACCGTGGTGCGTTTCGTGTCCAGTGATGCCAGCGCTACAGCAGCCTGTTCTGCTACATCGACCAAGGAGGTCTTCACTGAAGCTGCCGAGACAAGTTCTCCCCTGTCATTGACTACTGCCACGGAAAACTTGCTGCCGCCGGCGTGGCGCGCCGCGTCCACAAATGTCTCTGTTCCGGAGAGGTTCTTTATGAAAGCCCTAGCCCTCGCCAACCTACGACCTTTATTGTGTTGGGGATGGATGTTTCGTGAAAGAGGGTCAACAATAAAGGAATTCCTTGTTTGATAATCAAGCTGCATAGTTTCTCCCTGATTGAAGATAGGACGGAGGCCTGCCGCATCGAGCAGTTTTCTTCCTGTTTTGAAACTCGATAACCGAATTATTTGTGCTGACCTTTGCGCTTCAATTAATTCCGAAGTGGTGTTGTGCACTCCCAACTTCATGAGTTTTTCTGTGCTAGTCGTGATTGGGACGCCGAGCACCTTTTTAACACTTTTGCGCATGAGCGTGTCCAATTTATCCCTTTCCGTTTTGGTCCAATTGAGAGCCGCCACTATGAATATCATATGGCTCATGAGGAAAGCGTGGTGGGCCCTAAGGAGGATATCCTCGCCTATGCCGCCCTTCTTGTTGGACACCCGCATAATTAATCTCAGAATGTTCTCTGTTTTTGTGGTGAGATGGGCTATAGTCTTTGCGTTGCATCCCTTAGAGTCTAATAAAAGCCCCAGAATTTTCATAGAATTGACTCTAGGACATCGTGTTTAAAAAACCACGATTTTGGATAGTACTGCCTAATAAGGATAAGAATTTGTAATAAACACTTTTAGTTTCTTTTTATGAAACTTAAGTTGTGTCCTAGACTATTGTTTTTGTTTTTGCAGCTTTTTTACCGCGCAAGCAGTGTGGGTGTGTGTGTCGACCGCCCGAAGTACATCAACTGCCATCCAGACACACAAAGCGAAGGATGTAAGTCCATTTATTTCTTACGCCTCGTGCAGATCAGTGAGAACGTGGCCTACCTAGGCTAAGGATGCACCTTTCTATGAAAATATGTACCGGAAGAAGAGAAAATTTTAAAGCTACATTTCTGACAAACCTTCTTATGGGTATTCCTTCATGAGAATTTTAGGGATGTTGGAAGGGTTATAATTGTAAGAAACAACCACCACAGAGTGCTTACTAGATTTACTAGTGGACGACATTGTTCGGAGACTAGCATAAGTTCACACTCCAACACATAAAGAACGTCTAAACAGAAAAAGAATAGATCGAAAGGTGCTTCATGGGAAGTGATCGAGCGCCAAGTCCTGGATGGATGCACAGATTCTGGCGTCGCCATGCCCTGTCTCAGTCTGTGCACTATAACACGCAATCTATAAGTGATTCCACAACAGGCAGAAAGCGCACTGCGTTCGGCCCCGTTTGTCTTGGCTCTAATACATCGGTACATCTTCAAGTGCTCCGCGAAGTGTTCATCAAAGTGAAACGATGCTGCCATAGTGAGAATAATTTAGGCCATGTTGGCACTATTTTGAACAGCGGCAAAACTGACTTCGGCCAGCGTACTTGGATTTACAGTGCACATTGAAGCAACCATAGATGACCGAACGTTTGAACCATCCAGCACAGTGTCCTTCATTACTATATCTTCGTTTTAGGATGCTAAACTTCAGCACTTATACTATATTCTCGAAATAACACGCACGTAAAGCGAATGTTTACTAACAAAGTCCACCCATGTTTGTTTCAGAAAGGAGCGTTTCTGTAATTGGCGCAATCTAACAAGTATCTAAATAAGGGGTCACCACTGCCATGTCTTGCCTTTTATCGTCTTCTAATGTTGCATGACGTGGTCCGCCGGCCTGCTCTGCTTGAATGTGGAGAGTTAGAGGGTAATTATATGCTCAGAATGTCTCATAAGTCATTTTGCCCCTCAAACTAAAGAGCAACCTAAATGACGCTTAGTGTGTTGTCTCGGTGTTGTGTCGCAAGTCATTGGCGAGGGATCACTATATATACTTATATGTTTACACACAGTTTGTGCTACTATGTACACAAATAAGAAAGACGAATGGTTATATTGTTCTAGTGCAATTGCGATGACTTCGCAGCCATATTTGGATATTGAGGAAGATGAAGAACAGAATAACTGCGTTCAAATCTAGCGTTGAGCTTCAGCTACTAACTCAGAGGTAGATGGAACGTAACGTCGTAAAAGAGCGGCCACCCAAGATACACCGTAAACATACGTGCTGACAAAGAACTATGTTGAAGAGACCCCTCACAATGGTTAGTCAGATGTTCCGTATTTTGTTTGTTCCGTGGCTTGTGTTTCTTTTATAGTTGATTGGCATTGGTACTTTGGCTTTATTTACGAATATTATTGGATTGGAGCACTTGCATTGCACGATATTGAATATTTTCGAGTAGTATAGCTCACTGAGCTAGTTTATTCGCGTACTTTTTTCGTCACCATTATCGCCCAGAAGCTGAATTCCTTCCCAAGCAGCATTGATTTCATTGGAAATTCTAGTTAAGTCAACCGAATCTCTGCAAGTGAAAAAAAAAACTCCCCTACTGACAAGTACTAGAGTACGACACTATCGACAAAAAAAATCTCGCCTAACGAAGCGACTATGGAGCACTGCTGACTTTTTTGTCATTATTCAGTGTATCAAGAGACAAGTTGATGAAATGCTGCGGGATGATATTATCCAGCCGTCCAACAGCCCATGGGCATTCCCCGTGGTGTTAGTGAAGAAAAAAGATGGGACCCTACGTTTCTGCGTCGATTATCGCCGCCTGAACAAAATCACAAGAAAGGACGTGTATCCTCTCCAACGAATAGACGACGCACTTGATCGGCTCCATAACACCAAGTGCTTTTCGTCAATGGACCTCAAGACTGGCTATTGGCAAATCGAATGCGACGAAAGAGACCGAGAGAAGACGGCGTTTATAACACCGGACGGCCTCTTCGAGTTTAAGGTGATGCCCTTCGGCTTTTGCTCAGCGCCTGCAACTTTTCAACGCGTTATGGATACAGTACTGGCAGGATTGAAGTGGCAGACTTGCCTTGTGTACTTGGACGACGTCGTCGTGTTTTCCTCGAGTTTCGACGAGCATCTTCGGCGCCTTGAAGCGGTACTTCAAGCCATCAAGACTTCCGGACTCACACTGAAGCCAGAAAAGTGCAGATTTGCGTATGAAGAGCTCTTGTTTCTGGGACACGTTATCAGCAAGTCTGGAGTTCGTCCTGATCCACGGAAAACAGCCGCCATCGCCGAATTCCCGCCGCCCACTGACAAGAAAGCCGTGCGCCGATTTCTGAGCCTGTGCACCTATTATAGGCGGTTCGTGAAAAACTTCGCCCGCATCGCCGATCCTCTCACTAACCTTACCAAGGCCGACGTGGAGTTCAAGTGGGAAACGCCACAGGAACACGCTTTCCAGGAGCTTAAACATCGCCTCCTGACGCCTCCGTTACTTGCCCATTTCGACGAATTCGCCGAGACAGAAATACATACTGACGCAAGCAGCGTAGGTCTTGGCGCCGTTCTTGTGCAGAGGGCTGACGGACTTGAAAGGGTTATTAGTTACGCCAGCCGATCGCTATCCAAAGCAGAAGCAAATTATTCCACAACAGAAAAGGAGTGCCTCGCCATCATCTGGGCTACGTCGAAATTTCGCCCATACCTCTACGGCAGGCCCTTCAAAGTTGTGAGTGACCACCACGCCTTGTGTTGGCTAGCCACTTTGAAGGACCCTTCAGGTCGCCTCGCACGATGGAGCCTGAGACTTCAAGAATATGACATTACTGTCATTTACAAGTCCGGCAAAAAACACTCCGACGCCGACTGTCTCTCTCGTGCGCCTGTCGACCAACCGCTACCCGACGACCCGGATGACGACTACTTCTTGGGAACGATAACTACCGACGACTTCGCTGAACGACAGCGGGCTGACCCGGAACTTAAGGCCCTAATAGAATACCTCGAAGGCAGGACCGCCGAAGTCCCGAAGGTATTCAAGCGCGCACTTGCGTCGCTTTTTCTAAGAAACGGTCTTCTACAAAAGAAAAACTTTTCACCGCTTCGGGCTAAGTATCTCCTTGTGGTGCCTTCAGCTCTGCGACCAGAACTCTTGCAGGCCCTGCACGACGATCCAACGGCAGGGCACCTCGGTGTTTCTCGCACGCTCGCGAGGATACAAGAAAGGTACTACTGGCCACGTCTTACCACCGACGTCACTCGTTATGTGAGGACATGCCGGGAGTGTCAGCGACGCAAGACACCGCCGACAAGGCCAGCGGGACTTCTGCAGCCAATTGATCCACCTTGCCGACCTCTTCAGCAGATTGGTATGGACCTATTGGGGCCGTTCCCGACATCGGCTTTCGGAAACAAGTGGATCGTGGTAGCCACCGACTACCTCACCCGCTACGCCGAGACAAAAGCCCTGCCAAAAGGCAGTGCATCCGAGGTAGCTAAGTTCTTCGTCGAAAATATCGTCCTACGTCACGGCGCCCCGGAGGTCCTTATCACCGACAGAGGAACGGCATTCACTGCCGACTTAACTCAAGCGATCTTGGCATACAGCCATACAAACCACCGCCGGACGACAGCGTACCACCCACAGACCAACGGCTCACCGAGCGGCTTAACAAGACGATCGCCGACATGCTGTCAATGTACGTCGATGTCGAACACAAGACGTGGGATGCCATTCTTCCGTATGTGACCTTCGCATACAACACGGCGGTGCAGGAGACGACGCAGATATCTCCATACAAATTGGTCTACGGAAGGAGCCCGGCAACGACGCTCGATGCCATGTTACCCAACGTCACCGACGAAGAAAACCTCGATGTGAGCGAGTACCTTCATCGCGCCGAAGAAGCCCGACAACTTGCGCGGCTCCGTATCAGGAATCAACAGACGACCGACAGCCACCGTTACAACCTTCGACGACGCTTCGTGGAATACCAGCCCGGTGAACGTGTTTGGGTGTGGACGCCGATACGCCGACGTGGACTAAGTGAAAAGCTTCTGCGACGGACTTCGGACCGTACAGGGTGGTTCGACGTCTCGGCCCACTTGATTACGAGGTTGTCCCCGACGGCATCAAGAACTCTCAACGACGCCGATCGCGACCTGACGTCGTTCATGTCGCACGCCTCAAGCCGTTTCATGCGCGTTAACAAACTGAAACAGTGTTTTTTTGTATTATGGTTGTATCGTAATTTATTCATTGTACTTTCTTGCATTATTATTGTACCTTCATCTTTAGTTAAAGCATCGAGACGATGCCTTTTTCAGAGGGGGGCAATGCCACGTTCCATTTCCCAAGTTTTGGTTATCGTCCCAAAACACCACACGATTCTCAGCGCAAACCGCGCCTGCAGTTTTCTAGAGGGTTCCGGGCTGTAGTAGATCATTTCGATAAGATCACGCCCACTGTGCGAATGGGACAGATTGTTCTGGAATGCACGCCGCCGCCAGCGATAGCGCTAGAACGTTCGACGGCGGGAGTATAAATGCCGACGCGCTTCGCCGCTTGTCAGTTGTTGATCGAAGGCCGACGCTCCGTTCGCCGCTATCAGTCTGAGACTGCTATCTGTGCGAGACTGCTGCTGTAATTGGACTTTCTGTTTACCGGGCACAGGTTCGCCCAAATAAACAGTTAAATTCCAACAAGAAGTCTCCTGTCTTCAGCCACGTCACGACCCCGTGACAATATATTGTCTGTTACCGGCAATCAGTCGCCGTTAGCAGTGAAAAATCATTTTACCGTAAGGTTAAGTAGCGCAGTTTTTAACATGAACAAGAGGAATAGGAAGGACACGACACTTCAATTTGTTAAAAACTGTGCTACGCAACCTAACGGTAAAATGAAGAATTACCAACTAGCGCAGGTATCAACGTTATTGGAAGTGAAAAAGCAGCAAGACTCGTACTAAAAGCCCTCACCTTCATTTTCATATCTACAGCTGTCTATACATAGCCACGCATTTTCTCGCCATTGAAAGCTTTCTATACCTTGGAGGTTTTCTGTATTCCCCATCAATATGGAGTAGGAATAAGGAAAGAGCATATACAACTCTCACATCTCAAAATTTTGAGCTCAGATTTCTACACAAATAATGACTTCTTTGTGAGCACGTTTATAGCGCAGTTACGTGCATTGCAGGTCTAACCCCAAATCACTTCTTTTCAGCTGTATTGACAGAACAGGTGAGCTGTGATTTTTCGAACCCCAAGAGCTGTGGCTGGTTCCCAGAGCGTCAAGCCGCCGATATTGAGTGGGTCCTGTACACTGGCGGAAACGGCATGCCTCGACCTATGTGGCAACCCCCTTTTTCGATAGCACCAAACGGTACGTCAATATTTCGCCGCCGTGCACGTGTATTTAACCGAATCGTTCTACGTGTAATTGGTTTCAAGCATGCGCCGAACGACAGTAAGCAACATTTTAGAATACAATAGCAAAATGCGACTTAAGATCAGTTTTTTTTTCAGGAACTTAATAGATGACCCCGGTAGCTTATTGAAAAGCAATCAAATTGGTGTATAAAGAACTGAGACATTGCCCTAACTATTGTTAGCGTATAAAACTGCCTCCACTAGCTTGTGTTCATAGCTACTCTGATTAATACAGGAAAACATTTGCCTGCTGAAAGACATGATCGATACGACTGTTGAAGTTCAGGCCACATCCCACGTACAATGTTGCAAAACTATATTTGCAGATGCTTTACAAGCAGATGAACTGTGTCATTTATTTTTTCCGACCGTACCTCTCTAGGTTCATTCCTGGTGGCGCGAAGCAAGTTCCCTGTGACAAAGAAGGCTCACCTTGTTTCAATCAGCATTAGTCCCACACCAGAAAGTGGCAGATGCTTCACCTTTTGGCGAGTATCCGTTTCACTTGAAATTGAAATATTTCACCACAAGGGCTTGAAAAGCAATTTTATGGCGTTGGCTTGTAAGGCTCAGTTAAGTGTTAGTCTGTTTCAACATTAGGCGCTGTGAATTATTAGATAGCAGTCACGAAATTCCAATAGATTACGTACTTAATCACGAATGGACAACTTACTCGCTTTCGACAATACATTTGCTGTTTTTGCCTGATATAACATAAACTATCGTGAAGAATGGATACAGATGTCACATGCTCTCAGGAGTTGACTGTTCTTCGTTAAAAAGCAGTGCTCTAGGCTGACAAATGGTGCTAGCTGATGTGAACTTAAGGAACACGTCATTACGAAATGAGATCGTAAATAACGCGTGCAGTTTTTATGTCTCATTATCGCCACAGTTTAAGGTTAGCGGAAAAGAGTACCTCTTCAAGCAAAACTTTCCGTTTATATAAACATTTTCAAAGTAGTGAGTTATAATTACGCCGAATTTGGTCAGTGGTTCTGAAGCATTAGACGCCGCCAAAAGTGACTATGGTTAGTACGATACATACTTTGTCACCAAAGTGATCTTTCAACTAATGAAAAATATCTTTGACCTTTCTAGGTGCACATTGGAAGTTAGAAGTTTGACCTGCTAAAGTTAGATATGAACTGTCCTATTTTCAATACTTCCCCGTTGTGTTTGACGAAGCAGTAGTGGTTGGATGCACCGCCTACAATAAAATGATATCTGATTATGATTTCAGTGCTTTCGATGTGAATGATACATTTAGTTTCTACGCTGCACGATATAGCACTTCCACTTTACTGCCCACATTACATACCAAAAACTGGCAACGTATATTTTTACTAACAATTTTTTGTAGGCTGAGAGATATTTTTTTACCACTTACATAAACTTCACCTCCATGACGTTTACAGTAACGAACCATGGTATTAGTAACATGCTATTGTAAAGACTTGACAGTCCCTCCCTGTTTTCTTAATATTTCTGGCTGGTATATGTTCACGTTGTGTCTGTTTCATATGCGAAGAATTTCTCTGCGTAGTGTAAGCATTTGGCATCTATCTATCTATCTATCTATCTATCTATCTATCTATCTATCTATCTATCTAACTATCTATCTATCTATCTATCTACCTACCTACCTACCTACCTACCTACCTACCTACCTACCTACCTACCTGCCTGCCTACCTACCTACCTACCTACCTGCCTGCCTACCTACCTACCTACCTACCTACCTACCTACCTACCTACCTACCTACATACCTACCTACCTACCTACCTACACGTCTGGGCACTCTTGTGATCACCACTCTTAACTAAGCGTGAATCCAAATTACAATGGGAGGGCAAAATGGTTGGACGCAAATGACGCGCTTGTCACGGCATGAATAATGTCACAATTCTGCCGCGTGCATCGTCAAACACTTCCCGCCAGACTGTGGCACGTTCCCCCGGGCGGGTATGTGACACTGGTATGCGGGTATGTGCCGCAGATGATTGATACTTAGTATCTGCCCGGGAACGAAGAGAAAGCACCTAGGAAATTGTAACATGTCAACGTTTGTTAAAACCGAACATCAGCAGCATTGACGAAACGAATGCAAAGAATAAATGTCAGGGTCCCGGCAGAACTCGAACCCAAGCATTTTGTGTGGCAGTCAAGTGCTCAACCACAGTGCGACACGAAGTCTCGGAAGTACTTCTAAAATATACTCTGATCTTAGTGAAAAGTCATTTTTTGTTGCAGTGCTGGCTATCCAAGTTTATAAACATGTCCTATGTACTCCTATAATAAAGCTGTCACGTCGGGCTAACGTCAATTGTAATTAGGCGCCATGCATTGATTTATGCAACAATGTCCAAGGCAATCATCCTCGCGAGCACCAGGGCTTCATATAAACTCATTGCTTCTGGTGATGCTAATACTCATGCTCCCGTTGACATTGTTGTGCAAGAGCAAATTAATTACTACATGGTCACTTCGCTTAACGTCAATTCCCAAGGTACGTGGGATCTGCCGGGTCTTGTTGCTGCAAGCTTCTCAAGAGGTCGAGCTGGTTATGAGGAAGAAGACACTAAGCAAAAGGCCGATTTTCATTGTTAACTTTCATTTTTACGGCAGGTACAACATGTGGCATCCGAACAGCGGAGAGCTAAACCTACTTCAACGTGCACACACTAATTCAACCAGCTTGATCTGGCGTCGCGTTGGACCGCAGGGCAAGGAGTGGCGCCTTGGTGTTGTTCAACTGTACAGTGATGAGCCGCACCAGGTAGGAGGATCAGTTTGCACATTGTGCAATTATCATTTGTCACACAGGTCCCGTTAATTAGGGAGGCGATCGCCAGGCTAATTCCAAGGGCCGAAGTATCGGCCCCCCCCGAACCGCACCACGAAAGCGTGGACAATTTAGAAGTGGTCCTTTTTGGCGCGCCAGCGGACGCCGGCTGTGGCCCAAAGAACAAGTCGGAGCCGAGAGTTGATAAACAAACAAATTATATTCTCAAAATTGGCAGATCGAAAACAATACACGAGAATGCACACTCCACAATAGTTACATACAATACGTCACCAATCAATCAACACACTACACAGTACAATTAGCCCCACTCGAACAACGGACACAGACAACAATACGCACTACAATGCAGTCGCATGTATTGAACAACCAAGACACTCAAAGACTAAAGGGATAGAAAACCTATTCAGTCCAAAGCTCTTGGAACCAAAGTCTAGATGATACTCTTCCGAGAATCACTCACTCAAAGTCCAGCGTTGTTGTCGTTCCGCAGCTCTCGAAGTTTCTCTTCCAGGAAATCTCCCGTCTTCAATTGGCCACTCTTCCAACTTCAACTTCTTTGCCGGAACACGTCGGCTTCACACACGCAGCTGTTGCCCCGCGTCTTCGCTCGATAGCGGTAAACACACACTCTTCCCGGTAGCTCGAGTCGTCACCCCTCAGGTGGAAATCCTCTTCACCTCCGGCCTCGTCCCTTCGGACCAAAAACTTCGCCGACTACACGGCGGAATCCCTACGCGCTCTGGCGCTCACTTCCGTCTCCTCCTGATCTCTCATCTCGGCTGCTCGGTTAAATACCTTGCGCGCGACATTCCAGACGGTTCTCCTCATTTCGTCGGCGCGATACGCAGCGAAAGCTGAGGAGAGGTGCGAGACGGTTCGACTGCCCTCCCCGGAGGATGATTCAACTGGGTATGACCCCGCCCCGTTCGTTCTAGAAAAATCGCGGGCTTGCTGGGCCGCCGATGCGGGGTGAGGAGGTTCGTCTGCGACGCCACGCTTCCGCGGGGAGAGCGCGCGCCCGGGGAGCCTTGGACGTTTTCTTTCTTTTTTTTTCTTTTGACTTCGCGGCGTTTATCCCGCCCGTTGTCGCAAGAATTTGGCGGCGCGCTCTTTTTAGCGCTCGTTTTGTGACACTGCCCCCCACTTTAAGAATATTATCTCATAATATTCAAACCACACAAATGAGCGCGAACAGTCACCACACACTCTCACAGACTGTAACATAGTCCGTCGCTCCTGACACGTCACATTCACAATAGATCACCTAATACAATTGTACATTGTAATTCAATTACACGACACGTGAAAACACAACCACAAGCACATGAGTACAACACTCCACCACACATTCCCAACTATACAAATGTACAAAGTTCATTCATTGGAACAATTGTACAATACATCACATCACATCACCGTAACAAACATTTTGACTCACTCAACATACAGTTGAGACACAGGATAACACAACATTAACACAACATATGACACTCAGCACTGCCCAACACATTCTGATTCGACCTCAGCACTTATCCTGAGTACTTCGAGCAGCGCTTGCGCCCCTTTTTGCGGTGCTCGCTCGATCTCTTCTTGTGTTTCCACGTTCTTTTTCGGCAAGCCCTTTCCAACGACGATATCTGAGGCGTCGTCTCAGCCATCGTTGTCTCTTCCGACACCGTTAACGCGTCATTACATTCGACGGGTCCTGTCTGGTTATTTACCCGCTTGATCATGCCTCTACATTTTGCCCGGCTGGCCAACTCCGTCTCCTTTACACTGTCGGTCGGTTGAGGTCGTGCCGACGTCCGGACTTACTCGGCCCGTGAACTTATTCGACACGATCGTCTTCTCCCTCGCTGTCTCTTGCGCCGCAGCTTCACCTTGGGCTCTAGTGAGATCCGTCACGGGATGCTCCTTCACTGTGTCTCGCGGCCGCTGTGTTGGCGAGGGCTCTATCTTCGGGTCTTCTCCCAAACATTTTGGATCACTTGGCCCTCGCGCCCCGTCGATGTTTCCGATGAAAAGGTCATACAGGGAGTCGTCATGCATAAAGCAGTAACCTTCCCGCTGAAGTACGGGGTTTCAACCTCAATTTCTGCTTCGGGAAGCATCCGAACTGTACGGTCAATTAGGCAAACCGGTTTCGTTCTGCCGGTCAACTCACTTTCCCGTACCAAATTTCTCCGCACGATAACAGTGGAACTGCCGGTATCTCTTAACACCGTAATCTTTTTGCCCGCAACTTTTCCAGGCAGCGTTGGCATTCCTTTCGTAACACTGGTTGGCTGTTTTGACATTACAGCACCCACAATAAGAATTTTCTCCCCATTCTTCAACTCTACGAATCTATCGGTGACGGCATTATTATCAGATTTCGGTGCCGCTTGCACACAAGATACCTGGTGAGTTTGACTCACTCCGTTCCGACAAGCGTCTGCTTTGTGCCCAGTCTGACCACACTTAAAACATTTTACTGCCGTAGGGCTCGTAAAGATCGTCCGACAGTTTTTCGCGCGATGACCCACTCGGTTGCACAGAAAACATCGCGGAATGCTCTCTGGTGCACGCTTCTTTTCTTCGGGAGCCAATTTCTTCGAATCCTCGGGACACTCCTTCTTGACTTTGGCCAAATTAGTGCCACCTTGCGCTTCCAAGAATTGATCAGCTAATTCAAGCATGTCTTCAAGTGACTTAGCTCTCCTCTCTTTCAAGTACAGCGACAGGCTTGGGTGGCAACTAGTAAGAAATTGTTCTCTAATTAGGAGCTCTCTAAGCTCATCGTACTCCTGCGCTGTCCCTGAAAGTTCAATCCACCTGTCGAAATAATGGCAAAGTCGGGCGGCATACTGCGTAGCCGTCTCACCATCAGCTGGCTTTCCTGTCCGAAATCTGTCCCGGAATCCTTCCACAGTGAATCTAAATCGCTTCAACAAAGCAGCCTTCACCTTTGCGTAGTTGGCTGCATCGGTCGGCGTCAGCCTACCGTACACACTGAGCGCTTCACCACTCAAGCAAGTACTCAAAGCAGTTGCCCATTGCTGTTCCGGCCAATTCTGGCTCCTCGCAATCGTCTCAAATCTGTGGAGGTACGCGTCTAGGTCGTCCTTCCTTTCATCAAACGCTACGAGCAGCTTGCTTGGGTTCAAGCGGAAGCCGTGATCTTCCCGTTCGCTGCTTTCAACTCTAGCTTGGACGGCAGTTTCGCTTCGCTGTTGCAAACGAAGCCGCTCGAGTTCCATCTCGTGCTGCCGCTGCCGCTCCCTTTCCTCTCTTTCTTCTTTCAGCTGTCACTCCCTCGCTTCTCTTTCTTCTCTCGCCCTTTCGGCTGCCAACTTCTCTCTCTCCAGCTCCAACTTCAATTGCTGCTCTCTTTCTTTCTTCAGCTGTCGCTCCTTTGTCTCTCTTTCTTTTTTCACCCTTTCAGCTGCCAACCTCTCTCGTTCCAACTCAGCTGATTTTTCTTCCTTGGCCCTCTCTGCTGCCAACCTCTCTCTCTCCAACTCAGCTTCTTTTTTCGCTTTGGCTCTTTCGACCGCCAGCTTTTCCCTTTCCAGCTCAGCTGCCTTTTCCTCTTTGACCCTCTCTTTTTCTTCTTTTTCCCTCTGGGTGACCCACTTCCGTAGTTCGGCGCCGGAAAGACCCATCTTTTCACCAAGCGCAACTAACTTTTCGAGATCCATTGTGTCTCGCAAATAAAGCCTTGCCACGTTTAAAAAGTATCTGCCTAAATCAGTCTATCGGAACACTTTCCTGCACTCGTTAACGAGAACACTGAACAACACACCAAATCGTTCCGATAGCACTATCAACAACTTGAGGCTCTTTCTCACTACTTTGGACACACTGTGCACCGAAAGGTCCTGTTTCGCGGACGCCAGATTAATTGTCACACAGGTCCCGTTAATTAGGGGGGCGATCGCCGGGCTAATTCCAAGGGCCGAAGTATCGGCCCCCCCGAACCGCACCACGAAAGCGTGGACAATTTAGAAGTGGTCCTTTTTGGCGCGCCAGCGGACTGTTATGCCGGCGAGTCCTCGTCAAACGTCCGTGCCTCTGAAAAAGGCAATCTTGGTCAAGGCCAGCCCGCAGTCCGCCTGACGCGAACAACTCAACGGCGTGAACACGCGCGGCGCCTCTCTGGCCCACGTGCATTGAGTCAGCAGCGCACGTGACAGCGAGCCGGCGTCCTCGTGTCTGGGGGTCTGACGTGGCCCAGCGGCGACCCCATTGGAGGAAATCGCCCTGACGACCAGCGGCGCTTCTGATTGGACATTTTGGTTGGACCCGGTGCAAATAAAAGAAGCCCTGCGGCGCGTCGCGATCGGCGGTCCTATGAGAGAGGAGTCCCCATGTCGGAGAGCCGACATGTGTGTGAGTCGGCGGTCTTAGGCGAAAAGTTGACCCATGTGTAAGAAAGGAGAGCTCGGCTCTTCGAGTCTCTGTCGGCCCCAGTGCCGAAATTGTAACGCCTCTGTATATATGCTGTACATAAACCTTGTTTAACTCACCGTCGTCTCGTCCGCTCGTCTTATCAGCTCTGCGCAGAAGCAGTCGCGAGCTGAGAAACATACGCTACCAAACGGCTGGTGACCTTCCCGGCGGAGTTGGAAGCAGTGGCGCCTTCGGGACCGTGTTGGCGTCCCCGTCTTTCGCAACAGTGGTGGCTTCGGCGGGATCGGTCCGTCTTTCGCAACAGTGGTGGCAGCGGTGGGATCGGCCGGCGTCAGCGACATCGATGCGGTGAGTGCCTGATGTTTTCCCCTCAGTTCACCAGACTACTCTAGCTCAGGTTGTGGTAGTTTAGAGAAGGGCTGTGTGAAGCATTGAAGGGAGCTTTGATTGTTTCAAGCCAAGTCGAAGCGCTTTGAAACCAAAGTTAATGCAGAGGGGGTACACACGGGAGTGTGAAAAAATTGCTTGCGCGTCTTGCTAGTAGGCTTATAGTGGGTACGGCAAGTAGATTCTTAACA